GCCATCACTGGAATTATTGACCGATTGGGTGTCTTCCTTACTCTAGTTTCCACATTTCTAGGAAACCATTTCAGCTCAATGCTTTTTAAAGTGAGGCCCAGGCTGCAACCAATTGCTTCTGGTTCATGACAAGATACGTACAGAAATTGAGAGTAAGTGTTCAGAAAGTTTTATAGCAGTTTGACAGCATGGTTTTATGTCTATTTAATGATGCACACTTGGGGTTTTATCTTGTTGTCTTCTTAAATTTATTTGCCTAGTCATTCATTTTTATTAGATTTTATAAAAGTATTGATCTATTGTGGATTGGAAAGAGAGAACTGGTCTTTCCCCACCAATAGATTACCTTGTACTGGTTTACTAATACAGTAACTACCAATGGAGCTACTGCAGTTACATTATCAGTGACTGCCAGGGTCTTCCCACCCACCAGAGACTAAGGAGATAATGATTTAAAAAGGGAGTTAGGGAAGTTGGAGACTTTTTCCCCCTGTCTTTTGTTACATTTTCATTGTTGGTCTTACAGACATTTCTCTGGGCCACTCTTTGCCATTTAGCAGAAGGCTAAAGGAAGGTTTAGGCGAATTTTGCCTAAACCCCCCTCCAGATGGGGATGCTGAGAGTCACCTGAATGTGAAGTTGTCAGCTAGCTCCCAGACTGAGCAAGCACTGGGCTGCTCCTCCCGCCACTTCCCAGGGATAGTCACTGCTGCCCGGTGGTCTGGCCCTCCATCTGGTAGGGAGGGATTATGTTTGCTGCCAAGGGAAAGGATCAATGAGCTAATGTCTGGGGAACGTTCTGGAGTTCCATGGAGGAAAGGCAGAGGCCACACACATGTGACACCTTGAGCTAAGGAAGGAGAGCTGTGGATGGAAAGGGGGAACCAGGAAAAGAAAATCAAGAATTGCATCATCTCTTGATTTCACTATAGTCCCTGGCCTGCTCTTGTGGCCTTGAACTATACTTTCAAATGGAAGTTTTGAGACGAGATGGGGAGAGGAAGAGAGGGAAGCCTATGTGCCTTTTCCCCTGCCTGGGACTTTTTCTCTGCAATGTCTACAAGGCTCTGTCTCTTGCCTTTTTCAAGTCTTGACTTAAGGTCTTACTGAGGCCTTCTGTGGCCCTTTTCCCCAGCTCACTCTACTCCCTTTGCCTGCTTTATCTTTCTCTGCAGCATGTTACCAGCTAACACATGGATCCATTATATATTCTATTGTGATATAATGTAGTTAATGTGATGTCACCCATTCAATGCAGTTTCCAAGGGCAAGGGTTTTGTCTGTATTGTTTGCTGCTGTATCTTTAGGTCTAAAGCAGTGCCTGGCAGATGCCAGGTGCCCAATAAATACTTGTTAGGGAAATGAATGAATGAATAATCAAGAGTGAAGGGGCAGGATGGTAAAGGAGTCAGCTGTGTCCAACTAGGCCTTCTCTGCATCCACGCAGCTCTGTTCACTGAGTGTTGGATTAGGAGACATGAGATGGGCATAGCCAAGGGATGTAAACCACCTTTAATGAGCGCATACTGGATGCCACGGACTGTGGTGGGCATTCCATGTTCATTATTTAAAGATTAAATCACTATGTATTGCTAGCTCCATCTTACAGATAGGGAGGCTCAAGAGGTTAAGAAACTACTGCAGGGCCACCCAGCCCAGGAAGTGGCATGATCAGAATGCAGCCTCGTCTGATTTCTCCCATTCAGGGAAATTTCCAAAAGCAGTCATTTGTTCATGTGTTTCTTTGCTTTCCTACCCACAAAATAGATTTTAATTTTCCTCATCCATCACCAAATTTTTATCTTTGGAGAACAGAAATCTGGGAAAATTGGAACTCAAATATTATAAGATGGGAGCTTTGCAAATAGGGGGCTGAAAAATTCGATGGAATTACCGAGTAATGTTCTCAAATAAATGAGTGGAGATTAGAGCTGGATTAAATGATCAGAGCTAATGGGGATGAATAGTGCTTTTGTTTTTTGTTTTTTTTTTTGAGTCGGAGTTTCACTCGTTACCCAGGCTGGAGTGCAATGGCGCCATCTCAGCTCACCGCAACCTCCGCCTCCTGGGTTCAGGCAATTCTCCTGCCTCAGCCTCCCGAGTAGCTGGGATTACAGGCACATGCCACCATGCCCAGCTAATTTTTTTGTATTTTTAGCAGAGACGGGGTTTCACCATGTTGACCAGGATGGTCTCAATCTCTTGACCTCATGATCTTCCCGCCTCGGCCTCCCAAAATGCTGGGATTACAGGCTTGAGCCACTGCACCCGGCTGGTTTTGTTTGTTTTTTTTTTTTTTTGAGACAGAGTCTTACTCTGTTGCCCAGGCTGGAGTTCAGTGGTGTGATCTCAGCTCACAGCAACCTCCACCACCTGGGTTCAAGAGATTCTCCCGCCTCGGCCTCCTGAGTAGCTGGGACTACAGGCACGCGCCACCATGCCCGGCTAATTTTTTTGTATTTTTAGCAGAGACGGGGTTTCACCATGTTGACCAGGATGGTCTCGATCTCTTGACCTCATGATCCACCCTCCTCGGCCTCCCAAAATGCTGGGATTACAGGCTTGAGCCACTGCACCCGGCTGTTTTTGTTTTTTTTTTTTTTTTTTTTGAGACAGAGTCTTACTCTGTTGCCCAGGCTGGAGTTCAGTGGTGTGATCTCAGCTCACAGCAACCTCCACCACCTGGGTTCAAGAGATTCTCCCGCCTCGGCCTCCTGAGTAGCTGGGACTACAGGCATGTGCCACCAAGCCTGGCTAATTTTTGTATTTTTAGTAGAGACAGGGTTTCATCATGTTGGCTAGGCTGGTCTTGAACGTCTGACCTCAGGTGATTCACCTGCTTTGGCTTCCTGAAGTGCTGGGACTACAGGTGTGAGCCACAGCAGCCGGCTGGGGATGAATGCTTTTCTATGCAAGGCTCCATGCCAGGCATTGGTTTCAGTCTTGGTACTCACTCTTATTTTTCCCAATCTCTCCTAGGAAGAGCGCAACCTCCACACTCAGCTTATTGCCTCTTATTTTAAAAATAGTTATGGAGCATCTACTAGGTGCTTGGGAGAGGTCAGTAGAGACAACGAAGTTCCTTGCCCTTCATGGAACTTATGTTTTAGTAAGAAGAGGGAGACAGGAAGTCCACAGTAAGCAATGAGCCATGAAGTAAATGATATGGCATATTAACAGATGGCAAGCGCTCCAGAATCAAAGAAAAGGTAGCACAGGGGAAGGTTTCAGTATTAAATCGATGAGTCAAGATGGACTCTGTTGAGACAGTGACCTTTGAGCAAAGACTGAAAGAGGTGAGGAAGTGAACCAAGAGGCTCTCTGGAGGGAGAACATTCCCAGCAGAGGGAACAGCGCCCTGGCATTGAGATAGGATCATGCCTGGTCTGTCAGGGGGACCACAGGCAGGGGAGCAGGAGGTGGGGAGACTCGGTAGGTGTAAGTGAGACAAGAGGATATCCCAGCAAGTGAGATACGGGAGGTGAGTCAACATGGGATCATCATCTTTTTCCTTTCATTCTCTTTTTAGTACTCACCATAGTTACATATTCCTCCAAGTATTAGCATTGAAGTCTTTGGAAGTGTAGCCATTCCAGTTGGACTCGTTCTCTGACCTCTCTGGATTTGGGTTTCTGCAGCTGTAGCAGGAGGGGATCCTTTACTATTAAGATCATCTTTAACCTGCCTTATTTGACTCTCCTTGAATGCTTCCCCATTCCTGAGGGCCTGTTGGATTCCTTACTTGCTTCCCTCTCTCCTTTCTTCCTTCATTTATTCATCCTGAGCTGTTAAAACATTCTTCCTTACCCAAGCACTGTCTGGAGCAGTGCATGTGGAAGCAGAGGAAGTAGAAAGCAGAATCTCTGCCTTTCAATAGCTTGCAGTCTTTTCTTACTAAGGTTCAATAAGAAGGTGATAAGTCAGGTGAGAATTAGGACAAGTCTGTTAGCAAAATAAGAATAGTACAGAACAAGAAGCCATTCGAACGAGGAGGAATGTGAGTGAAAGGCTGGAATAGGTAGGTACATTGGCGAGGCAGTCAGAAATTCCATGTTCAGGGAATGTGGGAAAGGGGCGAGGATACCGCCAAAGGTGTCTGCATGCTCTGGGGAAAGGGACAATGAGGCTGTGACATGGAGCCACACCAAAAGGGGAGGCAGGCCAATGGACCAACCATGGAGACCCAAGAGACCTGGATCCCGACAGGAGGCAAATCTTAAGGAAAGGATGATGCCATGAAGATGGGAACAGAGAGCGATTATCCTGGATATTTAGTACTGTGTGAGGTAGAATAAGGAAATAAAGAAGGGAAAACCAGCCCAGAAAACTGTTGCATTTCTTCAGGATCCTGATTTTGAAAATTCTTGCTTGTCAACGACCTCTTTTCTGGCTGCCCCCTAGAAATGTAATCAAAATTTTAGACACTGAGTTCACATACAAAAGCTTATGAGGCAACATATACAAGAAAAAAGAAGCTATCTAAACAAGAAATGAAGCTTCTTTTTTATACTGTTAGCCCAATTTTTAGAATTTAGTTCCATGTCCATTTTCAAGATTTTTAGTGATAAACTCTCAGGTTATTATTATTTTTTAAATGGAGTCTCGCTCTGTTGCCCAGGCTGCAGTGCAGTGCAGTGGTGTGATCTCAGCTCACTGCAACCTCTGCCTCCTGGGCTCAAGCAATTCTCTTGCCTCAGACTCACATTATTTTTTAAGGGAAATAAGACTGACTCTTCCATTGCTTGTTCAAGTACCCTCTGTGAGCCATTCTGGAAACAAAGAATATCCCCACATTTGAGGTTCATGGCCAGCTTCACTTCCCTCCATGCCATTGCAGTGGTGTGATTTGCACACTGGCTGGACTCATATATGCGTTTCCTCTAATGGGCTTTGTGTGGTTCGGCTGGGCTTGGACGCCAGCATCAACAAGCCCGATAAAACCCGGCAGTTATCCACGCCTCCATTTCTGATTGTATTTCATAATGTGTTGATATTTCTAGGCTAATCTTGCACAACTACTGAGAGATTCTCAGGACCGAAATAAACATCTGGGAGAAGAAATTAAAGAACTTCAGCAAAGGCTTGGAGAAGTCCAGGGTGACAACAAGGTACTGTGAGTATTTGCAGAGAAACAGCTCTGCTGCAAAACTGTGCGTTAGAGGTTTGTGTATTGCACATCGGAAAAATGTAGTGCAGCATTTGTCGAAAAGTTTGTTATAGATTTTTAAATTTATAATGGAAATTTGCAGTTAGCATATCTTTTTACATTCCCTTTGTGTGTATGCATTCCTGTATATGTGTGTTTCTCAGTGGCTCTAAAATATTGCCACAGCCCATTGTAGAAGTTTCATTACGTTCAGCTTGGTGGTGAATAGCACTGTGGTGGAGGGCAAAATAAAACCCAAATGCTATACCTCCCCCTTCTATACAAATAATGGATTTGTGGCTCAGATGATTGGAATTATTCACATTCGGTTTTGAATTTTAAGTAGTCGTCCTACTAATTATGTTCACATAACCAATTTATTTTATTGCTAAATTTGGCAATTTGTATGGAACATTACTCAAAATCCACTGCTTGGTATTAATCAAACTCCCCTGTTGGCAACGTTAATTATAAAATATGAACTCATAAACTCCCAACTAAAGGTGTGCACTCCCTCTCCCAACTGAAGCTATGAACAAAAGTACAATTGAGAAAGGAAAGAAAAACTACTGAAGTTTAATTCTGTCCCCCAGAATCATTTCCTGTTTTGCCAAGATTGATTCATTTCCAGCTCCTTGCCAGAGGCAGCTTTTGCAACAGAGATGGCATTGGAGGTTGACTCAAGAAAACTACAGTGTGTGTGTGTACACGTGTGTGTGTGCACTTGTGTGTGTGTTGGGGGGAGTAGTTCTTAGGGAAATGTTTTTAGATGTTACCAAATTGCTTGACAAATGATGGTGACTTTCATCATTGCTGGAAGTTGTTAGTTATTAGAAGGAGCCATTTTGAAAAAGGCTTACTCTAAACAATGCGTAGAATTGCCTGGGTTGTCCAGAGAACTCTTCCGTAACAAGATATCAGAGAGGGCCCTGCATACAGCTGGCTTGAGAGGCCTGACTTGAGGGCATATATGCATCTAGTAAGCCTTCTTTACACAGCTTCTTCTCCACTTAACTAGCCTTAAATTTTTTAACCTCTTGGATTTAACATAAATTTGAAAAATTAGGCTCTACTGTTCCTGGTCATAAAATAGAGGGTGGGAAAGAATGTCCAGGAAAGGTTCTAATTTACACTGGACAAGCTTATCTGGCCCCTCGTGTGGTTTTATGCATCATTAAAAGGAGTTAGGCTCTGTAACCTAGGTGTTTGGTCAATTAAGGACCAACCTTAGTCACTTCCTCAAGTGATAATAGCAGGGCAAGATTTTCTAGAGAATTAAACAAAATGTATGTACTAGTTTTCTTTAAGCCTATGAAAATTCTGGAGAAGTTTATAAACCCATGAAATACTGAAACATAGGCCGGGCGCGGTGGCTCAAGCCTGTAATCCCAGCACTTTGGGAGGCCGAGGTGGGTGGATCACAAGGTCAAGAGATCGAGACCATCCTGGTCAACATGGTGAAACCCCGTCTCTACTAAAAAATATACAAAAAATTAGCTGGGCATGGTGGCGCGTGCCTGTAATCCCAGCTACTCAGGAGGCTGAGGCAGGAGAATTGCCTGAACCCAGGAGGCGGAGGTTGCCGTGAGCCGAGATCGTGCCATTGCACTCCAGCCTGGGTAACAAGCGCGAAACTCCATCTCAAAAAAAAAACAAACAAAAAAAAGAAATACTGAAACATATTTAAGATGTGACTTTCGGATCTGTGACTCCTCTTGACCGACTGATACAGATTTTTTCTGTTTTATTTTATTTTTTTCCTGAGCTACCCCCTCCCCCAACTTTCCTAAATATGCTATTGTCTCATCTTTTGGTTGCTTTTAATTTTTCTTTTGCCTTTTAGGCATGAGAATTTTAGGAATTGATGTTTGCAACTGATAGTTCACGGAAACAATAAAGGGAGAGCAGTCAGGCGTGGTGGTGCACATCTATAGTCCCAGCTACTCAGGAGGCGGAGGCCGGGATGATTGTCTGAGCCCAGGAGGTTGAGGCTGCAGTGAGCCTTGATCATGCCAATGTAGTCTAGCAAGGGTGACGGAGTGAGACCCCATCTCTTTTAAAAAGAGAAAAAAGAAAGGGAGGGCCTGTGTGTGGGTGTGGTAGTGTGTGTGCAAGAGCATGTGTGTGTATGGAACACTGAGCACAGATTGTCACAGTCTGAACTTGGTGATCTGCGTGCTCTCTGGGTCTGGATTCCAGTACCTGGGCACATTCATCAAACTTTGTCTTCTCACCTTAGGTTTAGAATTTAGTGACTCCTATTCATGGCCTGTGAAGAAATTTGCCTACCGAAAGGGGTAGGGGGAGGATGTTCTGTTGTTGAGCATACCTCCCCATTTCAGTGTCTGGCCTCTCTCCCTCAAAAAGAAAAAAAGGCTAACTGCAGTGAGCCCCAGAGATTTCATTTATTCTCATTTGCCTGTAAAGTTACAGGGCTGGTTTATTTTCAGGCTCGTGTGAGTCATGATCATCCTTCCCCCAACCCCCACCTGGAGGCCAGATTACTCATTCCATAATGATACCAGGCTTGCTTGAGAACCTCAGAAGCCCCTGTTCCCAGGTAGCTGTGACTGTGTGGTAGAGAACGAGTTAATCCTTCCGTTTGTTTAAAAAATTAATTCTGACACTTTCTGCTCCAACACTTTCTGCATTCAGCTCTACCTCTGGGTGCACTAGGCCTCCATGATCACGGTGTGTTAGGCCCCCATGACCTGATCCCTACTGATTTCTACAGCCACATCCTTGCTGCTGGTCACCCCATACTTGAGCAGTAGAGTGCGAATTTCAGCCCCTTTGCTGTGCTACACTGCCCATGGTCACAGGACCTTTGCACCTGCCATCACTGAATCTGGAATACTCTTCCCCTTTATTTCCCCTGCAAGCATCTGCTCGTCTCCCAGGTCATAGGTCAAATGCAGTCTTCTCCAGCTCTTAGGCATCAGTCCCATGCAGGCTGCAATGCCCTGCTCTGCCCCTCTGCTCACACTTGTGTAGCACCACCAGCCCCAAGGGTAAGCTCTCTGAGGGCCAAATTTCCAACTGTATCCTATAAATTAGTATTCTTAGTTCCTGATTTATAGATATTATATAATCTCTACTGAAGGAATGGAATAGAATAAATGAATGAATGAAATGAAAAGGGAATGAGAAGAAGAGCAAAAGGATTCAAGGAAGAGAAAGAGAAAAAGAAAAAAAGCATGCAAGAAATAAACAGACCGGTTGCCATCTGATTGTCATCAGCACTTTGTAGAATAAGTAGTTTAGACATTTGGAGAAAGGAATTAGAAAAGCAAACTGTTCCACAGGGGTGGAACTAACCCCAGATACGTGCCTTTGAGAAGCTTCTGTGGAGAGAGCGGAGGGTCAGTTGCTGAGCCCTGGGGGACAAAGAATGAGTGTCCTGCTCATTGGCTGGTTCAAGTCTGTTAAATTCAAGAATACTTAATCATTGTTGTTTTTGGACTCTTAACTCTGAGGCCAAACAGCAGGGCTGATGGCGGCATTTTATGAGTGACTGTTAAAGTGGAAGATTTTTTATCTCTGAGTTGCCATTTTAACTGATGACCCTTATCCATATTTTGGGAAGCCCAGATTCTAGATGTTAAGTACATTTGAAAAACAAGGTGATAGGAAATTACTTGCCTTGGCTATTTTAGGGTAGACTAATTTTTCCATTTGTTCAGCTAGAGCCTTGTAACCCTATGGGCCATAAAGCATTTCCAAACAGCCTCTTGAAAGATTTGTTGCCACCCTGGCTTCCAAGCAGCTTAGCTCTCACATGGGGCAGGGGTGGGGTTCTTGTGCCAGCATGGGTGTCCTGTGATGGGGGGGGCCTGTGTGATCGATTTCCTCCTGCCATCTCTGTCTAGTTCCTAAGAATTTCTCAGGCTCCCAAACTAACACAAACTCCCAAGCCAAACCAGAGGAGAGATGTGAAAAGGGAAACCTCCTAGATACCCTCCCTTCCTTAAAAATTACAGCTCTTAAAGATTAACAAGGAAAGAGGAGGCCTCCAGGGAAAGAAGGGCTCATGAAGCCACGCATTACCCTGGAAAAGCTTTGCACGTTGCCCAGGGCTCTCAGCATGTCAGTCTGTGAGGAATGAGGAGAGACTCAGGCAGTGCTGGGACTGCGGAGACAGCTGCAGCTCCCCTTGGCCTGACCCAGAGGTTGGCCTGCTTCCTCTTCTGGGCGTTAAGAAAAGAGTAGTTTCAGGGAACAGAGATCAGGCGGAAAAACGGGGTCTCCGAGAACTTAAGGATAAGTCAAACAGCAGAACTAGCAGAGGACATCTGAATCACAAAGACAGCAGTCCTTCCTTATCTGTGGGATACTTTCCAAGATGCCCAGCGGATGCCTGAAACCTGGGTTAGTGCAGAACCCAGTTGCCATCAGTCAGAGCCAATTTCTCTCATGTCTTCTACCTACAAACGCGATGCCTTTTCCATCTTCACCGAACACTTCCGCACTGTGGCCGCAGCTTTTGTAGTTGAGGTGCAGCAGCAAAACTAGCACAGATTTCTCCTTTCTTCTTTACAATTTCATGGATAAAAGATTAGTTCTTATTGTAGATCTCAGCAACCTCCGCATATGATTTTTTTTTCCTTAAATTGAGAACTTTCACCTTTTCACTTAAAAGAAGCACTATATGGCTTCTCTTTGGCATGTCCAAGTTGTCAGTGTCACTGTTCTTGTGTTTGGGGTCAGTATTGATTTTATATTTTTACTTATTTATTTTTTTGAGACAGAGTCTTGCTCTGTTGCCAGGCTGGAGTGCAGTGATGCAATCTCAGCTCACTGCAATCTCCACCTCCTGGGTTCAAGCAATTCTCCTGCCTCAGCCTCCTGAGTAGCTGGGACTACAGGCACGTGCCACCACACCCAGCTAATTTTTGTATTTTTAGTAGAGACAGGGTTTCATTACGTTGGCCAGGATGGTCTCGATCTCTTGACCTCATGATC